GTCCTTCGTTCACAGTTAAATTACTCGGATATCGTAGCAAGTACCCTTTCAACGGTAAAACTATTTACAATTTGCTTGGGCTGTGATCGAAGAAGCCTTCGTACGAGGTACTGAATCTTCACGATCAATGGATCCGTTTTGTTAAGGGTTTAGAATACCCATAGACGGTATTTATATTCATTTCGTGATCCATCCGTCGTGAGACTACGACAATCACGGATCGTCCTGGGCAGAGAATACTCGGAAAGAAAGAAATCGAAAGAACGAACGCATAGCAAAGCTGATTAGGCAACATAAAGTAGGATTCACATTACCAGTAGGGATATACACAGGCGATTTCAACTCCACGTGGACATTGACAAATGTTTGTCGCGTTTTGAAGGGTAACTGAATGTTTCAGCTATGTGCCTTCGTTTAAAGCCAATGGAATATTTTGTCTTCTTAGTAGAATGATTCAACTGTTTGTTGTTATAGAGAAATACTCTTTAGGATTGAATTTATTCAGCTAAACAAATACTTGTCTGTCCAGGTCGGGCACGGTGCAGAATATTGCGCTCATACACAAGTCTAGATATCAAGAAAGAGTTGGTGGTTTCTTTACCTTAGTGAAATCCTGGTTAATATCAACGTAGCATTCATTCATAGAACCAATTAGTCATGTGAAACACGTCGTCGAAACACGATTCAACTGCGAACCGTCCACCCCCCAAGCCATTTGAACAGTTCTCGCACAGTACAATCGTCTCTAATCACTCATTTCCTTTTTTTTTCGACAACTAATACTGCTGCAAATGGTTTGGGCGATTCGGACAGTGCGAGCCGCAATGATCTCTATCGAGGAGTGTCTCGAGACATTGCCACGAATTCACCATTTTCTGATTAATCGCGATTGCAATCGAAGACAGAGAAAGGCAAACAAGTGTCAACTTGGTGCAAACAGGTATGTGAAAGGGTGCTCGATCCACATCGTCTAGAACATCTATGTGTGATCTACTCCTGACTGCAGGCAGAGATTTCTGTCAATTCCATTGCATTATTGATTCATTCAATCCTTCCACCACATGGCAATACTCATTCCTGCAACCTTACTTCACTTAAATCTCGATAGAGCTGACAGTCTATTCCATTTTGAGGATTTCATGTTGCGCAATCTTTGGACGCTATTTGTATAACTTCAACCATTTCGAAAGTACTGCAGATTTTATAAAATTATGGATTATAGCAGATTTCATTTCTCTTTTTGAACAGAAATTTCGACCTGTCTCAGGATTCCGGATAGTATGAAGCGAACCATTCCTCGAAACTTACTTTCTCGGCCAGGCTCTCCAACGTTTTCGGGTATCCACGCTCATAGGGCTGGAAGTGTTGCGTTGCTGATGGTTTTGGCTGGTGTGTGATGACAGGTGGCGGTGGTGGTTGGTAAGACCAGTGTCCCTCTGGTCTGGAGTTGTAGTACAAGTCCCCGTTGCTGGACCCGAGGTCCTGACTGGATCCCAGACCAGTCAAACCCAGCCTCGACCTAGATGGCAGCATCTCACGACCATCCCCACGTTTACGATTACTGTCTCTGTAATTAAAGAAGCAATCGTCAGTTGTTTGTCTTTCAGAAAAGCAGTTGTACTGATGTCTTGTCACTTTCTTTTATTTCGATAGTATCGTTTGTCTCTGTAATATTGTCTCGTCAAGATAATTGCAAATTCTCTGTGAAATATAAGCGAACAAGTTTTAATTGAAATTTTATTAACCTCTTCTTCTATGATTTTTTTTTCAATTATGATCGATACAACCACTTTGGGATTAGTAATCATTTGAACTCTGTAGGCTCATTATTGCACTAGTTATAATATTAAATATTTTAATGAATCTTTAAAAAAACTACCCTAAGATTATTAGCTTTTCCACACATCCAAATTTTGTACTTAGAGGAAAATAAAAGATCTGAGAAATGTTATAGCATTGTTAATTTTTACTAGGGCTACTATACAAATTGATTGAATTTGCTGATGGATTACAAAACTATCTGGAGTGCTAAGGGATAATTTACTGAAGTGTGAGAAAAATTCTGGGCATACGTTGTGTCCGTGTTTGCTCTAGTGTATGATTATTTGTTACAAAAGAACAGTATTCGATTTGAGTTCAAAAGAATTCAGTAATATGTATGTTTGTTAAATTCTGTTTGAAATCCTCATCATGAGTCGGACACGTCATTGTAAGGCGAAGGGTTAATGGGAAAAAATGATACAGGTGAATTTGTATCTTGAGAGTATTTTAGCTCTGAATTGTATTAACCCTTTACACTCGAGAAGTGACTTTCACTCACCACTTGATTTCATGCAGTAGAATTATAAAATTTGATATTCAATATTACTCTGTATAATGTATCAATTTGAGAAATATTGAAATAAAATAGCTTCGTTTCTCAGTGTACGTGTGATTTCTCGTCGAGTTTCACAAAATATCGTCTTTACCTTATCAGAAAATGTTAAAATATTTTTGGTGAAAAACGTCCGAGTGCAAAGGGTTAAATTTTTAAAAAAATTTCAACTAATTTGAGTCGCGATGATAATGTCATGAAGATGGTACGATAAGGTATCTTAGAACGCAAAGGATTGAAATAGAATGCACTGAAGTGACCTGATGTGATTACTCGTTGCATGATCGCTCTCGTCCTCGTTCAGTTCCCTCTTGATCACGACGACCGGCGGCGCCTTGTGCTCGGCCTGACGACTATGAGAGACTGGCTGATGCTGGCCATGTCTTGTTGCGAGTACTAGCCTCCTAGGTATCGACATGATGATCACCACGTCATCCAGACTCATGTGCGTCACATCGACCAGGTTCACCGCGAGGATCTCGTCCCCTACCTGATGAACGCAATACAAAATAAAATGTTCAAAACCAAGTACAGTATTTTCCGTGATCCTTCGATATTTTCTTAAACTTCAGACACTCTCCAAAGTGCTTAGTAGATAAGCCAGGCTTGTATTTTAGCAATTGCTTTTTTATGCCAAATTTATGACCATAGGGCTAATTCATTTAAAAAAATATTATTTATTTAAAGATCTGAACTATTGTCAGTTAATGTTTTTCCCTTGGAAAGAAGAAATTCTACTTTGCTACTACTAAAAATATGAGAATCAATAATTAATTAATAAAATATCAAGTGAATTCAGTATAAAACTATCTTAGCAAAAGACAAAATTTCAAACAATTCCATATTTTGCCCCAATAAAAATAGGAGTTTCTTTCAGCATCCACTCTATGTCAACAACACACCTAGACTATCCTGACAAAAGTTCCCCAAAAATCGAGAAGAACTTCAAACCGGACCACCTCGAGAACAGCCAACCACAAAAATCATATTGGCAACACAACTGAATTCAGTAGCATGCGCTACGAGACACTATAGACATAGCCTCGTAACACGGTACGCGCGCATCCCCTAAGGACGATCTGCACAAAGCGAGAAAGATGTACCGTGGACGCCGCTGCCGCCGGACAGGACTCGGTGCTGCAAGTTAACCTAATGTCCGAGGCCCCGATGGGAACGGAGTTTTAATAAATTCTGCAGCTGACCCGTCCCGGCAGCGGGTACGCTTCTGAAGCGTAGCCGGGGCAATTAGGTTCCAGCTTGGGTGGACACGGTTGGAAGGAGGGGGTGAGAAAGATAAAGAAAAGTCTCACCTTCAAGCAGCCGCTGTTATAGACGGCGGTCTCCAGGGCTATCCTCGAGATAAAGACACCGTCGTTCCTGTCGACGCCGTTCCCTTCCCGTATATAGAGCCCGAGCGTCTGCCCCGGCCTTTTGATTATCTCGACGAAGTGGATAGGGTGCTTCGGGTCCTGTAATCAAGGCGATAACGTCGGACAAATATTCTCGGGTATTAAACGGCAAATAAGAAAACACGGCTGGCCGACCGCTGGATTGCTTCATTGTCCGCGGAGTAATTATACCGTCCGGTCAGGGGTAGGAGCGGGGAAATAACGGGCCGAGCATAATTCGAAACCACAAAGGTCACGAAAATGGCCCTGGGATTATCACCACGGACACCGTCGCTCGTGTTTCCGGGCGACCATTCCTGGTAGCCACGAGAGGATTGCTGGACACAGGAGTCAGCATTGTTGGGACGACGGTTTTTCTCGAAACAGATGTAAGTCTGATAATGTAGCACTCAGCGTATTGTGGCCCGCTGGAATTTTGAAATTGGGGAGTCCCGTAGCAACCGCGATACGGTTTAAATGAAGGCACTGGATCTTTCAGTACTTGTTTTTTGGAATCTGGTGCTGGACACAGGTCTGAATAGGTTTTAGTAGTTATGATGTAGTTAATATTTGGTTGGGACAGAAATTCCTTGCTGCTAGAAGAGCTAATTATCTTCTAGAGGTATTGATTTTATTAGATAATAAATATTTTTGATGGCGCTAAAGGTTTGCTCCCTGTGCCTGGCTTAGGTATGGTAGTAGCTAAAGCTCTAAGTGTCCTATTGAGTCACAGGGCCAGTTTCTTGTTCGAGACAGCTGTTGATAGACCAAACTGTTGCGTACCTGCATGGCAATGAACTTTTTCGCCGCATCAGACGCCTGCCTGCCCATTTGTCGCGGCTCGATGACCCGGACGACCATCTCACCCCTCCGTTCGACAGCTTCGAGGGCCGCTGCTGTCGAGGCGTCATGATCGTTCTCGACCGTTTCGATTTGCTTGAAGATCTCTGTACTGATCCCGCTCACCTGCAACGACAGGTCCGTCTACTTCAACGAGTGTAGCTAGAACGGGGGAGCTAAACGTGGGCAAGATGAAATTGGTCCAGCTACGTTACAACTGATCTGAACACGTCTTTGCCTTCTTCTGTTACCTCTCTTGATACAACAGGTAATGTGGCTTGTAGCTGGAACAATTTCACGAAGGAAAGAGGTGGGATTGGAGGGATCCGAGGCTTTCCGCTAATTCAATTCTTGTTTTCCAGGTTGTCGGTAATTGGACTGATCGATCCTAGGTTCGCTAATGGATAGCTCGGTTAGAAATAATTGAAATTTCCCTTGAAACGATCAGCGTGTCATGGTGAATTATCAGGGATTAAGTGGCATATGTTACCTTTCTGAAGTCTCCTTGAATGACCATAGGGGGTGGTTCCTTGGGGCGCAACTGGTTGGCAGGTGCTTGCCTCCCAGGACTTGCGCTTATGTCTGTCACTTCTCCCCGGCCCTCCTGCAACGAAACCAACAGCACTGATTAGCGCGACATTTCTTGGATTGCTTGTGACGTAATTGATCCATTCGTACACTTAATGAACTTTATCTCGATCCCTTACAGAAAGGGTAACCAAAAGGATTACCTCGAATTGCTGGCTCAAGGGAGCTAGCTACAAAGCTTACTAACTTAAATTATTCTGTCGTTCTGACTCAACTATTTATTTTTTCTTTTTTTTTAAATTCTTCACTATCAGATGTTTTCCGAGCTGTGACAGGATTCACGTTAAAGGCAGCGAATTTAAAATGTCCCCGCGGATTGGGGACGAAATTTCTTTGCGGCGGCCGCACACGAGATTCAATCGGCGGCCTGATTAAAGGCTCGTAAAAATTTCAAGCGCTTTTAGCCTGTTCAGCTCCGTGAAATTGAGAACAGTCGGTGATACACGCACTCCGCGGCTTCAACGTGAAAACCGGGCCGGGAGGGAGACGCTTTTGTAGATCACTGATGCGAAGCGTCGCGGGGACGGATCGCGATCGCCCGTCCATTTCGACGACGCGTGATTTGTCGAGTCTGAAGTCAGTCAATGTTTTACGGGACAACTAAATAATACAATCAGTCAATGCGCGGATAGATTTGGCGGTTCGAGTAACAGGTTGGCATGACTGATCGCTCCATTTATAATATCAGACTATAGGGTACTGATATCAGCCGAGACAATGGTGCTAACGGCAGTTAGCTGCCTTTCAAACAGTTATAGTCTAATTCAGCCAGCAGCTTAGTATAGGTGGCAGAGGCTTGTTAATTGGAGGAAGATTTTCAACGTGTGCGATATTTATGAAAATATTGTGAAGTCATTGCTTTCTTGAATTTTTTTTTTTGATTTGTGGTAGGATGTATACTATAGTTTACATAATTAAGTTAATCAATTTTCTCTATTTATTTGGTGAAGTTACTTTATTCTTACTACTTTTTTTAGTACTTTAGAACGTTACGTTATTATTATTACTTTTCATGATTTCTTTTGCTGGTAATACGTTATTAACGGTAAGGTAAATCTCGTAAATCTAATGATTGTACAAACCAGAAGGAAATGGGAGAAGATTGAAATGAAGAAAAATTGTAAAAGGATTATTAATGAATGCAATGGCAACAAAAATAGACAAACAGGTGTTTCGTAATAATTTTCAGATAAAGTTGTCGCTTGAAGAGTATAAGAACAAACACGTGAGTTACTGTGTGTTTATCAACCCCTATCAGTTTTCCTTATCTCTTGAGCATAGTTTCAACAGTTACGTAGGAAGAGCAACTCCATCATTCCCTTAGAAAGAAACTGTAAGTACCAAGTTACTTTTGTGTGTGTGACAACACTTGTACCATTCAATATGATATACGTCGTTACTCGAAAACAATTTTCAACATATGAAAAATATATTTCATGTGACCAGGATTCGTGTTTAGATCCTCACTTTCTAACCTATTTCTCTAACATCGCAACCATAATTCGAATACACGTTCACAGTGTATTCCAATGGCACGTAACTCTAACTTTCTATATTTATACGTCCATTATACACCTACACTCAATACCCTATACACGTATTTCTCACTTTACATGCTACAGAGCCCACTCAACAGAACTTGGACCAAACATTCAGCAGCCAACATCATTTACTACCTCTATTTCCTTTGACCCTCCTTATATCACGCTCCATGTCACTGAGATTCCTATACCGCACCAGCCTCGAATGCAAAGTGAAAAGTCTACATACTAAAACATATACAAAATGAAGAATCCCTGTCGCCAAACCTTAGCAACCCGTCATTAAAACTTCGTCCCCTCCCAGACTCCGTCACCCAGCCACATGATCCCGAGCTCGTTAAAGCGATCCCCATCCCATGCAAAATCGCACAGGGCCTAGGTGCACGTTCCACGCGCCATGTCCCGAGGCACCGTGTCGACACGAGCGTAGCAGCGAGTCAGTGCGCATAGTTCGCCGGACCGGCGTCCAAGGGAACCGAAAGCAGGCACGCGAAGTGAACGCACCCCGTGTAGGCATGTGAAGAGCACGAGCCACGCGGCCGAGCCGCACATCCGGTCGCAGAGTGACAACAATGACATCCACACTTGCGCGGCCGATTTGCAGCCCCTTTTGTTAGCGGCGTCCTCGGCCAGCCCAGGGAGCAGCTCTTCGCCCTTCGCTGAGCCGTCAGCGCCCCTGTCCCTGGCCGCCGGGTGCTCCACCGTCCAGCCTAGCTCCTCTTTCCTTTTCTCTGTCTCGGCCCCAGTCCCGCGTCGCTCCGCGATCCTCGTATCCATGCGTCCCGCAGTGCTCCGGATACCCTGCGGTAGGTCTTCCAGAGGCTCCTTCAGTCTGCTAGGTCCGCCCTTTTAGTGCCTCGAAGCAGCCCGCCCTTCGAGGCCACGAGTGAATCCTGACGTCCTCCTGCTACCCCAGCGTTAGCTACCTCCGATAGTGGCCCCTGTGAGCCTGGCCCGGTCTATCCCAGCTCGTGGACACCAGCACCGGTACTCGAGGACCCTTGGTCCCGCGACCACGCGACCAACGGAGTTACGCGGATTACGTTACGGGAGAGGAAGCAGCCCGAGCCACCCCTGCGTCGCACGTCCTGCCTACCCCATGCTGGCTAATATGGCGGGAAGGAGAGCTTCAGGAGCGTACGAGGCCGCGCCTGCGCCCCCACTAGGCTACCGATGCCGGGAAAGGGAGTGTGGGTGAGTATCGACCCGACGTGACGTCACTTCACTCCTTCCACCCTCCACCCCTCCAACTACCCCGC